TATACTATATATTTATAAAAATTATTTCAAAGTTATCGGTGTTTAAATAAATAGCTCTCTAAAATGTAACAAAAAAATATGTTTAATATTTGTCAATAGTTATTAGTTAGTACCTACATGAAAGTTAGTATAATTAAAACTTGTGTTCGTCTAATAATCACTTCTAATTAATTACTTTAGATGATAATGATGAAATAATGGTGTTCGTAAGAATCTCGATATAATTATAGAATATAATGCAAACCAGTAACAATTTTTGTGTTTTTCAAAAAATCGATTTATTGACGGTAAAAATAGGTTGTGCAAATGATATAACGATCGTAAAATATAAACAGCGCAATGGTATAATAACACTGAATACAAATTGCTTTTAGGAGCAACTGGTCCATGCCTCTAAATTCAGGGTCGGATCTAGGGTGGAAAAACCTAGGGATTCATCTCCAAGCGTCATATTTTCTTAATTATTTTGGGAGTAAATTGTGCACATTGAGGTAGGTATTTTTCGAAAATAGTTTATACTTCAGCTGCAGATGGGTTAAGTAGCAAACCAAATGAAGGTATGTTCTGCCATTGAAAATAAGATGAGTGCAGTACGGCAACATTTAGTCTCATATAGATTTTGAACTTAAATATTTCATTAAAAAAATTTTTTGACATTTTCGGAAACAGAGCTGTATGTTTGAATGAATGTACTATATTCAACTGTTACATAATTATCTTAAAATATATTATAATATAATTAATTAAATATTTACTAATGTGTAAATTACACAAATTACCACTTATGAATATATTTTGTGTGTGTGTGTGTGTGTGTGAAGAATTTGTTGTTGTTTGAGTATTTTCTGTATAAAACTAAGTAGTTACCTAGAATAGGTATGAAAAAATGAAATATAACGGCGAACGAAGTAATCTCTTTTTTTAAAAGGTACCTATCTAATATTTTAATGAAATATTTAAGTTACAACTCAGTTATTTCATTACAAATAGGGGTGATGCTATTATAGTGATAAGATAGGTACTTTAAATTAAAGTTTGACAAAAACATTGAATTTGCTAATTTGCAATTTGCATATCCTTAAATTGTCAGTGGTTTTGGAAAAATAAAATAGGTAGGTAAAATCGGGCTGTGTTTTTAATATCTTAAATTGGAATAACAATAACCAATGTTGGATCTTAAAGTAAATTTTCAAACTATTTTTGTTTTTTTTTTTATTATTTATGTAAGGAAAAATTTATAGAATCTTGTATTCAATTTTTAAATTGTTGGTATAAATATTAACTGGGCGATATTTTTGTCTTTCGTCAACTCTAGAATATATAAAAGTTTGCTGACTTTTAACTTTAATAGTGGTTTCTGGTAGTGAATTAAAACTAGTTGTTATTTTGGTAAAAAGGAGGAAATTTCCAGAACACACTTTTAAAAATAATAGAGAAAAAAATATGTGCATTATACCTGCACTTTTTGATAAAATCAATTTTATTTTTAAAAATGTTGTAACTAATGTTGTATGTATATTGTAAGTCAATCGATATTTGAAATTTTTTGCTTTTAAAAATTTTATTTTTGATTTATGTTGAAAAATTGTTTTGTTTCAAAGCCCAACATCTTGAAGGTGAAATATGTATAAGGTTTCTCATAACAATTAAGGTTTGGAGAGGAGAATAAAGATATATTATTTGAACCTTCTATATTGCAGCAGAGCTACTTCCCTGGCCAATTTGGTTGGTATTAAATGATTAGCAAACAAAAACAAACCAGTTGAATGCTACGATTTTATTAGACCTGTGGCTTAACTTGGATCACTTTATTGAGGGTTGGGGGGGGGGGAGGAAGGCTGCAGAGGAGGTGATGCTCTTCTATTTCTCAACTATAAATTCTATGATGTTTTGAAAATTATTAAATTATTGAAAAATTATCAAGTTGGTAGGTACTCACATAGGTACTCACTGTGAAACTGTATCTACATTTGTTGTACCTATCTTATACTATTCATAAGTATATAACTTAAGTATACCAATACAATTATTATACATTTCGTTACACTAATATTTTTCTTTCATATGGCGTAGGTTTATTGGTGATAAAATAATAAACTAAATTTGTTACACTAATGAAAATACCTCGTAACTAAAATACTAAATCTTTATGTAATTTACATAAAACGTATCACACAAAAAAATGTATATAGGTATTACGCTTTAAAAATAAAAATTAATGTTGTAATTAACAATAAATTAGTGCTTATAACATGGGGGGGGGGGAAACAAATATTTGTCACATTCTCTATAATATGTCTGCAGGGCAACTGCTCCCCCCCTCACCATATAGATACAGCCTATGATTAGACTTTTGGTTATTAACTAATCTAAATAAATACAGCATTAAACAATAGTCACGTAGGTATATTATAAATATATTAGTCATAGAAATTCACACTTAAGGTCATCAGTGAATTAAAGAATGTATTGGTTTTACTGTGTTATCATAAATTATGACTATATAGGTATTACGGGAACGAAAGCGATTATGGAATATAAATTCTTATTAGAGACGGATCTTGTTCGGCTTCTTAAATTATATGTTCAAAATAGTTGTGTTTCTTGAGTAATATTAATAGTTGTATATTACTTATTATAATTCTGACTTTCTATCTATTGTTAATTAAATATACAACAACGTGTTATTCGCTATTATTGTATATAGTTATACAAATTATTGTAATATTATATGCTTATTGCTATTAAAAATTAAGTGACACTCGTGTTACATCAAATAATTGAATAATATACCTAGATCACTGTCATAATTTATTACCTATGTAATTCAAAAAAAGAAAGCCAAATTGCTTTTAGAAATTTATGATTTTTGAAACAAATATCTTACTAATATTATCATTTAAATTACAAATTCCGCCTGCTTCCTGGAAAGCCAATAATTATATTAACTATATACATTTCTAGGAGAAGTAAAGCTAACGAGGTTCCTCCTCCGTCCCTCGATTAACTCGAAAAAAAAAGAAAAAACTTTATACATATTCACGTCATTGCTGCTTCAATAATATGATTACTAGTAGGTATTTCTATACATATTAGTTATTAGTAGAAGTAGAGCTATGATGGTTTATGGAAATACAATGAAAATAGAGAAAAAATATTCCACTTCAAATGCAAATCCAAACGTTTAAAATAGTTTTATAATCTAAAAAATATTACTCTAAACCGTGCGTATGATCGAATTGCACTTATTTTAGTTGAACTGCACTTGGGTTTAAAAAAGGTAATAGTCGAATTGCACTCGGATAAAAAGCAGGTAGTGGTCAAACTGCAATTGGGCTTAAAAAAATGGTTTCCAACAAAAATATCATGTATTTGAAGGGGTTAAACGTTTATAAGACACTCATTTCCCTTCTCAATTACAGACTTAGGACTGACAATGATTTTAATAATTGGCATAGTTAAAAATTATTGTTTTATACTTACCATTGCCCATTATGTTTGTATAATATTATATACGTATACATTATACATATATTCAATCATCAAATATTATTATTGTCATTATTATAAATTTTTTTTTTTTAACTAATTTTGATAATTTTTGTAGTAATAATAGACATATAATAATTGTTTTATTCTTTTTTTAGATCGTCAAATATTATTATAATAATAAACGTGAATGTCCATAGTGACTTTAAATTTTAACTAAAATTTAACTCCTTTTTTTGAAACGTGCAGTTCGACCATCACCTTTTTTGAACCCAAGTGCAATTCGACCATTTCTTTTTAGGTAATAAGTGCGATTCGACTATCCCGTGGAAAAGTATACAAAAATAACTATCAGGTGTTAAAAATGTTGGCACAAAAAAGTAAAAACGAGAAACGCACTCACAATACACACGACTATGTCAAATACTCAACCCACATACCTACTAATTTTGCTGTAGGTAATGTATAGATGTAAAATAATCTTAAATATTAAGTCTAATCTACTGTTGCAGTTATAACAGTTATATATTATATATAATAGTTTATATAATATATGACAATTGCGATAAAATATAAATTAAATTACTATACCTAAAATAGGTATATAATACCCAGGTACAGTAAATTAAATACTTGGTTATTTTTTGGATACCTATATAATGTTCTGTTATTTTCTTATCAATCAACATTACTAAAATATACCTGCAGTATATAGTACGCATTGAAAATTATATGCATTTCATTCAAAATATTCATAAATATAACAACCACAGCTGTTTGTAACAACATACAACGTTATTCGCCGACACAACAAACAAAATAGCATTATATAATATTATATATTTTATATAAATCTTAATCCTGCTTAGTAATTATTACCATAAGAGTGCTGAGTGATATACCTGCTGCAATATAGCAGGCAATTCAAAATTATTGCATAAAAACAGAATAATATATATACGATTTATATCATGTTAGGCTATTAAAATATTGAAAAAATACCCGGAAAACCTCACATGATCAAGACTCTTGTCAAATATATCGTATACTGCGTCATTTATGAAAACGCCAATGCATATATAATTAATAACACATTACATAAATAAAATAACCGTTTAATAGTGTTTCTTCTACCCATTTGTAAAATTTACTTTTACATTGGTAAATTCCATTTAATATTTATAATTAAAATATTAAGTTGATATTACTACGAATATACATAATGGGTATTAATGTATAATAATATATTTGAAATCAAAAAGTATGTAATATATTTTTTAATTTCAAATATTTAATGAATAAAACCTTACAAAATATGGTTTTTAAGATAATGAAAACGATTTTATTTTGGTATTCGATTTAGTTGTTTCAATAATAATTATTCTGAATTATATGGTTAGTTAATAAGGTCAAAAACATCTATTTTTATACTTAAATACCATACAGTATACATATTACATAAGTACCTACTATTTTTATTTTTACAGTTATTAAATCCATAACTCCACAATATGGCTCTCGATTTACATCGTAAGTACATCGAGAGAAGACAAGACAGTGCACCGTTGAAGGTGGCAACCAAAGACATAATAAATTCTAAATATTACTTGGACCCTCTGGAGTTGTTGGGTGAGAGGAGCTTCAATGAACCTCGAGAAGTTGATGAGTCCGAAATCGGAAGTCCGATACAAGAGTTTTTCCGGGATGCAGTCGTATTTTTAACCGGTGGTACAGGTTTTATGGGAAAGGTTCTAGTGGAAAAACTGCTCAGAACATGTCCTCACATAAAACATATTTATTTGCTGATCCGATCTAAGAAGGGCAAGAACGTCGATGAACGATTGGAAGATATATTTGAAGACAGGGTAAATATAAATATGTATTGTTATATAATTTTTTTTTTTCATTAACCTACTTTTAACATGTTTTGTAATTTATTTTATAAGTGAAAATAATATAATGACCGATATAGTATAAATTAACCACGTGACGCACGTGGTATTACATAGCTGGGTGAGTGAGGTATTTTTTTTCGGTTCAAATAATAATAATATTTTTGTACACATTTATTTGTTAGGTACTTAGGTACCAAGTTTTTATTATTACATTAGAAATTATAAAACTATTTTTTACTCTTTATTGAAGTATATTAATTGTTACATACTAAAGTTACTAAAATATAGCATTACTCAATGGAGCTTAGAAAATTCACTAAATAATTTATAGCATATAGAAAATAGCCTGGGGTAAATAAATACTCCGTGATCGTTACCTTAGTTCAGTTTAGATATTTTTCGTTTGATTTTTCATCTGTATAATATATAAATTGACGATTAGTTCTTTCAATTCTGTCTACCAAAATTTATATAAATAACAGTTACTTGTATAATTATTTATTATATAAAATATCCCAATAATTAATTAAAATTTGTAACTTTCATTATTTTCTAAAAATTAATAATTTGTAAGCGTAGCTGTAATTATTATATCAATAATTTTTTCGTTATATAGTTGTTCAAAAGATTAAAATATGAAGTTCCCAAGTATTATCATAAAGTTTCCGGAGTAGCCGGTGACTGCAGTTTGCCGGGTCTAGGATTAAGTGTAAGCAGTCGAAATACACTGATTAAAGAAGTGAACATAATATTCCACGGAGCAGCGACTGTGCGTTTTGATGAACATATTCGAGTGGCTATGGACATAAATGTTTCTGGGACAAGAGAAATGATAAATTTGGCCAAGACTATAACCAACTTAAAGGTAACATTAAAATATGATATACATAAATACATAATATATAATAACAATTGGTATTTTATGGATTATAGGTCAAGTAGGTATCTATATGGTTTGATAATTTATACTATACAAACACTCCAAACTTGTAAAATTAAATTGATTTTAATAAATTTACATAACTGGTTGAAATCTTTGTTTTAATTGTTATGTGTTTCTGTATGCGATGTGGAAGTTCCATAATAACTTACATTTAACTTGTTGAATATGTGTGTTAAACGCTTCATAACACTAAATATATTTAACTATTAGTTGCAACAATGATTTTTTCGTATATACTATATTTAAATATATTTCAATAAATTAGCGTTTCCAGAACCATGGATGGAATGCTGATAAATATTTTGCTGATTGGTTACAAAGTTCTACAAACGTAATAATTTCATAAAAATTAGTTTTAACAAATTTTAACTTTAAATCACATATGTACTTACCCAATAATTCATAATTGAGTTTCATACAAAATGTAATGAAAGTTGAGAACCACTTCAGTAAGAACTATTATTATTATAATCATGGTTTATTTGTGACTGGTTTTATTGCTCTTCTAAGAAATAGAATAAAAATTATTTTACATGAACGGTATTGTGTAATAAAAAATGTACCTATAGTAAATTAACGCAAATAAGTACTAGGTACGATTTTGTTTCCAAACAGGTTTTATATAGGTACTTTAAATAAATGCATCTAAATAGGTATATACTATAGCAACAATGCACTTTAATGGTTTCTTAATCGATTAGGTCGTAGCACATATTTCAACTGCATTTTCAAATTGCAACCGATTGCACGTCGACGAAAAATTTTACGATCCTGTTGCTGACTATAAAGATGTATTGAAATTGGTTTCTTCTACCGACGATCAAACACTTCATGGTATGACTAGCAAGTAAGATTGTCATATATATGTATTATACTATATATTTATTTAATATGAATAATAACCTAAAGTAACATTATAGTAACAATATCAATATAATTTTATCATAACAGCAATATTATTTTTAACTTTTAAGAATCCTTGGCGAGCTACCAAACACTTATTCTTTTACGAAATCCTTGGCAGAAGATGCCATTCGAAGAGAAGCACAAGATCTTCCAATATTAGTTTTCCGACCAACCGTGGGTACGTATTATTGAATCATAATCATAATATTTGCTTTTATAATATTACAGGTTTAATAGTTTTTAAAATATTGTTATTTGTTTATAGTGGTTGGTACTTACCGGGAACCAGTTAGAGGCTGGATAGATAATGTATATGGTCCAACAGGAATCGTAGTTGGAGCTGGTACCGGAGTACTTCATACATATTATCTCGATTCTAATATTGTAACCGATATAATTCCCGTCGACATTGTTGTAAACGCTCTTATATGTGCTGCTAAAGAAACGGCAACTGCAAAAGTGTAAGTTTTATTAAAATGTCTATGGTTATAGCTTTTTTTTTTTTATTTGACGAATTGTCGTTTGGTAAGATAATAACTCACCGTTTGTTTAATCTAACCGATTCTACAGTTTAAAAAACCATAAATTATTTAAATAAATCAAGTAATTTAGGTATTTCAGATAGGTATACAAATGTGCATATTATGATTTTGTTTAGAGTTTTCATCGAAAGTAATTATAACAGCAATAATTAATTCATAATGTATGTGCATAGATGATAATATATTTGTATGCGGATATAATTAATTATAAGAGAGAAAGTGCATTTTGATAAAAAAATGTATATTACTATGCATTACGTAATATATACTAAAAAAAAAGCTAAAAAATTCGTTCTGCTGTTTAAGTATAGTAGATTTTGAGTGAACATCGTTATTGTGATGGAAGTGTTAAATTTGAGTTTAACTATAAATCAGTGCTTACTAACAACGAAAGTTGTGCGGAGACGGCGTGTCAATCTCTATTCATAAGTATTTTTTTTTTATTAAATTAGGTAGTAATTTATTTTTGTATTGATATACGGTAGGTTGAATTATATTTTGCAAAAAACATATAGGTACTCTATAATAAATATTAAAATATTATATATTTCTATCATATTATATTGCTGTTATTAAATTATAAAACAATGTTACCATCGCGTCGTACCGTAGAACGGTGTGCATATATAGATTATAGCCATTCATGGTATAAATATCTTATAATAAGTCTAAATATTTCGTTGTGTATAGAAAATAATAACAACCGCAATGGTGAAAGTTTGATATTTATACGAATAACCGAAATCGTTAGATAGAAAATTGGTATTATTACCTAACTATATAGAACATTATTAGTCTTGATTTTTGAGAGATCTTAAATTTTAAATGCTTAAAAAAAACCTTGGGCACTGTGCCTATGTATCATTAATATGTTTAAATAGCTATAATAAGAACTTATGAGGAACCATTTATTGTATTTTCAAGCTTTTTGATTAGATTGGCTGACCAGCCTTTGTGAAATAACGTATGTTTGTGTGACCATCTATCCGTTATACTTACTGTACAGACTTGGTGGTAACTGATGCATGTTATATTATATACACTATAAAGGATGAATCACCTGCTATTCACCACCATTTTTTCTTTTAATAATGAATACATTCTTATTTTCGAAATTTTTAAATATATATACTTAATGACTTCATTTTCAAATGTATGAGATTTTTTGGACTATACTTAAAGAGTCACATTCCTGTGGAGATACAAAGTTCTAATTTGCAAATAAGAACCTCCCTCCCAATCATTTTTAATGTAAATTAATTAATGGATGATTTTTTTGAAATTGTTGGTGTACCTAGTTCAAAATTCGAGTATTTTGAATAACTGGATTATTGAAGAAAAAAGGAGTTGTGCATGCTTGTTGAATACTAAATAGTGAATCACTCTATACATCATACGTTGGTTACGATTGATGACAATTTTTACCTAAAATTATGACGTGATTTTTGTTTTGTCTTATGAGTTCTTATAATATTTTGAAAAAACGGAAAAGAGAATTGTTTATGTGTAGTAGATTTTTCCATAATAAACAAGACATTTTATAATAATGTATAGTTTATACAATTCACACGTACATCTTAAACAGCAAGAACAATGGCCACAGTATAATAGTATATAATATGTAAGACCGGATGTGCTCGTAAGGCCGTATTACGTTTTACGGAAAAGGGTGGGCTTTGTTTTTTTTAAATTTAAATCACGACGATGAGAAAGGAAAATAGATTAAAAATGGACATAATGTTCATTGAAGATGAAATTCAATGTCAAAAAGTTGATGAGGTATATGACTAATACAATTATAGGTTATATTAAATGATGCGAATGACTTGTTTCATTTCATGGCAACTTAAGATTGGGCAAACATAATGTATGTGATGTACCTACCTAGCTCCTAGCTCTAACTAATAATTATGAAAATATAACTATGACATAATGCAAGTTTTCTAAAACAATACACTAAATTATCTCATACGACATTGTAAGAACGGCCCAGCTTAGTATGGGTTTGTAATTTGCTAACGGCTTTCGTTAAAAATAAAAAAAAATATGGAAATGGCTAAATATCAGTGAATAGCATTTTTGAAAATGCAACTTGAACTCACTTAAAGTTTAGGGCTGGTTACACATGGAGCGTCTTATCCTCACATGGTCATAGTTTTTGTGATATAAACGTCTACGTATAAACATGGGTCATTCAAATTATCCAAACGAGCAGAACCTCGCGTGTATGTTTCAAGGTGGACGACCTCGTTTGTCAGCTAAAATAGTCATAGACACGAAAAAACCTTCTTCTTCTATGATTTAAAAAACGATTTTTTAAGGAAGTCAAAAAACGTTTAAAAAAACAAAAAATAAATTGACAATGATCTATAGAAACAAATTTTAAAACTTTACTTGTTAATATTTGCATGATTGGGAGTAGTAAGAGTTTCTTCTAGATGTATAAATATTATCACCTCTCCATCAATAAAAATTCCTGAGCACGCTAATAGTCAGTATTTGTTATTAATATATTAATTAAAATAATTATTTATATATTTTTTAATACTATATAATTAACAACATCAATAACTAATAAGTCGCAACATAATCTCATTATTTTTTCCTTTATTTATGTTGTTTAGAAATCGTATAGACGAAGGTGTTATTTCATTAGTTTGAAAAATCTGCTCTGTCACTCCTGTTCTTAAGTCCTCTTCCCCCATATTGTTAAACTAGGTTTTTTACATTGTCCACAATTATGTTGGGTCTATATGTAATCACATTCTCATCCCAGAACACGAGTGCACTGTTATCTCTTTCTCCAGATCCAGTTACCCTTTATACACTATCCGACTACCCTTACATGCTTAATGACCTTCATTTACAGCGGATTTACACTATCAAAGATCTTGGAATTCAGGTTTTACTAAACGGAATACCAAATTCATAACGTAACGGCTTTTGTACATAACTATTGTTTTTTAAAGTATGTGTGAACATTTAACAATTTAAGATGCAAATAAAAAAAAAATTAGATGTCACGAACATGTTTTTGAGAAACACTATTAGGCATATAGATCTATATAGTAAACAAAGTTCTGTTGTTTGTGGATTTCCGTATCAGTATTCAAATCTGTGATGGCTTATCATTGCTTTCCTACCTATTTTTAATAATAGTATACCCATATTTTATAGGAATGCTAATTTCTAAGTAAAGGTTCGATGTAATATCCGGTTTATATAATATATATTATACCTTATCAGGTTTTAAAAAAATACATTATAACCTATCAATATTATTATTGCTGAATCAAAAATATGTTCTATTCGTTTTACGTCAATGATCATTATTTATTAGTTATACCATCAACGAAAAACGTTATTAGCTTATACTTTTATGAGGTGGTTACAGCTTAACAATTATAAGATAATTTCATAGATACAAATTTAAAAAAAAAAGCTTTAATGTTTACTTTTTGTTTACAGGAAACATGATGAAATACCAATATATACATGTTCAAGTTCAATACAAAAACCAATTAAATGGAATGAGTTTATCGAGTTAAATAAACGTTATGGTATGCAGTGGCCTACAATTCGGGCGATTTGGTATTCTTCGTTTTGGGTTACTAAAAATCCATATTTATATGCAGTGTTAAATTTTTTTTGTCACGTTGTGCCTGGGTATACACTGGATACATTGGCTCGTTTTTCTGGACAAAAACCAATGTTAGTAATGGTTTAAATAAATAATATATACAATATGATGTATTTAAGTGCCTACACTCAATATTTTGAAAAGTCTTAGGGCCGTATTCATAGTCGATCCTTAAGAATAAGTACCTATTGCTTAAGCTAATTTTGATAATTTAAAAATACAAAAATTGCGATAATAACTAAAAGAAATGCTTAAGGTAGTATTTATGTAATAATTTATCGTTTATTAAGCCAAAGTCTTGGTTATGAATCTCATTTGAGTCATGAGTATAGCTTAAGCAATACTTATTCTTAAGCATCGACTATAAATACGACCCTAAATTTCTTTTAAATATAATTTTTATTTAATTGTATGTTATTGCACAACAACATTTTTGAAAATAAATTTTATTTTTACAAGTTTTTATCGCAATAATTTTTCGGTTTTTTGAAAACAAATACACATTTTTGGTTTCATGTTCCAAAGCAATATGTTTTTTGGAATATTTTATTACATTAATATCAAATTTTGTAAAAGTATATTGTGTTTAGTTAGTTATTACCTAACCTTTAGCTGAGCCATGATCGGAGTAGTGCTCTTCCATGGAACAACTTGACTAGGTGGATACCACCTACTTATTAGTAATTTTATGTTTATGTATCGAAAAACCCTGAAAAATATTTTGCCTAGGAATAAAAAATAAAAATGTGTATGTTGTCATTAGTGCTAATTTTCATTGGCGCCCTAGCACAGCTCTGGTTGTCATTCAAAAAAGAGAAAAAATAAAAATTGTAAGTTGAAACTTTTTGAAATAATGAGTGTAGAAACATAAATGGATATTATGTACATTATACCTGACAAAGAAATATATTATAGTAGTACTATTAATTCTGATTTTTGAATTACTATTTTATGGTTACCAGTTAGTGGTAATTAGTTAAAATGATAAATAGTTTTATATAAAAAAACTCAACGATAGTGCTGTATTTTTTTTTTTTCAAATAGATTGATGAATATTTATAAGAAGATTGATAAAGTACGCGATATACTAGCATATTTCTCTAACAAAGAATGGACGTTCCCTAATGATCGATTACTGGCGCTATGGGATACTCTCGACGGTCAAGATAAAGAATTATTCAATTTCGACATACATCAATTGTCATGGGATTATTTTTGTCAGGCAAACTGTCTTGGTTTAAGAGTTTACCTCGTAAAAGATGATATACACACATTGCCTGCTGCCAGGAAAAAATGGGAAAAGTAAGTTATCCATTTTTGAAACAAGTACAATAGTACAATAATAATAATTATTTATTAGAAAATAGATGGTTCGTGAATCTTGATTAACGGTTAACTATACACTAAATTATATATTATACTTAAATTTTAATGATGAGTTACAAAGCTATTCAAATGTTCAATTAGGTGCGAGTGTATTATTACCTATAGGTATTACATATTGTATTATATGAAATTATTAATCCTTTTTTTCTAACATTTAAATACCCATTAATTGTTATTTTGGGTTGTATTTTATATCTAATGTATAAACTAAGTTTAAAAATTAAGATTTAAGAAAAATATCTTTAATTGCCTATTATTATTATTACTATTATTTATTTTTAAAACTAGTACCTATTAGGTATTTAAATGGCGGGGGGGGGGGGGTTGAAGGGGATCAGGAATAGGAATATTGGTACTAAAAACAAACTTTATACAATTTTAAAATTTATTATTTAAATAATTTTAAAATCCCTAATACTGATGTTAATTTAACACCACTAAGTCTTAAAATAAAGACACCTATTGTTGACATAAACACAACTATAGTTTAATAATATTAGACTGATTTTATCTGTCAAAAATTGATTAGTCTTAATGACGTATTATCTATTATTGTATTATGTTTAATTTATTGTATTCTTATTTTCAGATTATACATAGCACATAATATTCTGTTAATATTTGTGTACGGAATTGTGTTGTGTTGTCTCTGGTTGATTGTGTGTGTACCACTAAAATTGACTGGGTTCATGTAAAACAATTCGTGGAGACTTAAACATACACGTTTATTGGATGTTTTATTACCAAGTAAATAAATATAGGCATTCGTATTTATGTATTTGTGTATTTATGTGATAAGTGATAATTATTGAATTCAAGTCAGAGTACCTATAGGTAGTATTATAATTTACGGTCCAAATCAAATCATACCTATTGACAATTAGTTTAAATAATTTAAACTTCGTGTATATAATATTATGATAGTATGTATACCGTTTATGATTACTATTGTAAGTCATCAAAAAAAAAAATGTATAAAATAAACAACATTGAAAGTTAACTAAACCGTTTTAAAAGAAATGTTAAACATTTAAAATAGTATAATTTAAGTGGGTGTATCTTAATGATGTTAATAGACATTTTTTTTATAAAAAAATTATTAGGTACCTACCTAAAATAAAAGTTTCCTGTTCCACAATGTTTGTTTTTGTAACAAATTTTAAATATATTAGCTTATACCAATTTATTATTATCCAATAATATTATGTTAACTATAGTTTAAATGACTACCCATACACGTCTTATTCGTATTATTTCGTCGTATGACATATTATTTTTTAAAAAACATTTTCTGTACCTATCTATAAAAACTATAAAATAAATATATATTATAGAATATAGGCGATAACACGTTGTTGATGCCTAAGTAAACGGTAATCGTTTTTTTTTATTTACTTATATTATATTCATACAGTCCTGAGCCTTTGAACAAAACTTATTCGAGTGTTTGAAAGTACTGAAGTATAGGGAGTTTAAATTTAAGATTTGAGATTGAATTATTATTGCATAATCATTTTTATTATACTGTGAAATACAAACTTGAAGTTTCCTAATTTCTAACTTTAGGTATTGGGAGTACTTAGGGGCTTACAAGTGTATATAATTTTGATAAGATTTATTTAGAAGTAGGATATTATTGTTAGATATAATATTAATTGATTTAAGTTTTAATTTGTTTACCATTGGTTGCATTTCATATTATATAATATATACCTAATTTACTTGAAACGTTTTAAATGAATATGATTTTATAGATTTAATTTTATTGTAATAATTTAACATACATACCAAACAATTGTATGTTCTTATATAATTAGTTATTTTTTTTTTTACCTAAGTCATAAAAAATTATTGTGGATATTTTGAGAAATATTTGTTTATGGTGTATGTAGTATGTGTTATTGTGTCATGTATGGAATCGTCTCGGCGTATCATAAGTTCGAAAGAGTTCGAAAAATATGCATGTATTAATAATTTTAAAATAGGATAACATTGAGTATAGGGTTAACTCTTCTGCGAATATAATTACAAGCAAAGCAACAAAACCATGTAAAAAACATTGGAAAAGGAACAATTTTTAAGGGAGTGGATAAACAAATATTATACAAATGAACAAATTTGCAGATTTGACTTTTCGAAATCAGCAGAATTTACATTTACTACTATTTAGCATTATTGCATTATTACATATAATTATTTCTATTATTATTTTAATATTTTTTTAAATTAATTTACTTTTTTATTTGTATTACTATTACTATTAAAAAAAAAAAACAGTGTAAAAAAATCATACAGATTTTTTGAGAGACTATACTCGCAGCCAACCTCCAAGTGGTGACTCTTGAATAATACTAATAGGCTGAAGGGACTCAACTAGAACAACCTAGCAAATATTGGTCGGAACCAACCAGTGGCGTGGCGTGGGTATTAAAAGGATGTAAGCAGTGAAAATTTTGTTTCAAAAGTGATTAGAATATAGGTACTATACCTAAATACCTAATTATAAATTATGTATAAAAAATGTTATCCTTTTAACATTTTTAATATTTTTAAAAATATACTAGTTGTACAAATCAAATTCGAGAAAATAAATAAATTGAAGTATAAATACTTCAAAAGTCTATTAGGCGAATGACAGTGACAGTGTAGTGTGTACGTAAAAACGACTACAGTCTACAACGCGTAGGGCTACGTACTGCCGTACTGGTCCGTGGTCGCTCCTTGTTTCTCGCGTAAGCAAAATCAAATGTGCTTACAAACGCTAGTTAAATACGTGACCCCCACTATGGCATTATAGACTATTCGAAAACAACAGTTGCGCGTAAGCAATTTCAGAATGTGTTACACTGTATATCGTATTATGATTATGCAGTTAACATAATACAGAATGGATTAAAAATAGACCTACAATCGATGATTTTCTTAAAATAGTTGGTAATCAGTAGACAGCGTACGACACATATAAACAATAACAAAAACCACTACCAGCTATAACTAAAATATTTTATAAATAAAATTAAAATTTTAAAAATCATTTATTATGTACCTATTAGTCGTGATTGATTAAATTAATTTTTTCTTTCATTTAAAGTGTAAGCAGTGCTTACAGTGCTTACATGCACGCTACGCCCCTGGAACCAACTCCGATAACCCAAGACTCAATTCAATGTCACTGAAAAAAAATATGATTAATATTAACAAGCTTAAATTGTGAACTGTACCTTCGAAAAATCCCATTAAATTTTTCATAATTAAATTATATTCACTACCTTTTGATTTCTGACGCTTAAAAAATATCACCTTTGTAAATGTACCTATATACCTACCTATTATAAGAATGCTATAATTGACAAGTGACGCATAGATCTTGAAGTTATGACGTGTACTCTTATGTATTTATGTAATAAAACTTTTGGTGTAATGTAGTTATATAATTGTATTTTTATTTATATCTTGAGTAATATTTAAAATGTTGAAAAATTAATTTTAAATAACAAATATAATGTTCAAGAATAAAATAATAAACTTACTGTGTTTAATGTGATTTATTGTATATACGAATAGTTCAATATAATAAATATATAGTATTATTTTATTAAATTTAGGTCATAGGTCTATTGGCTATAAAATAAATAAATGTAAAACAAAAACTCACGTATTGTCAAAATACATTTTTGGAATGATCTATCCACAGATGATAAACTACATACATCATTAATTTACTTCAGACATAGAAAATACATTTTTATAGAGAATATTTACACACACACACACAAAGTCAAAAAATATAAATAATTGGTAATTATTCAAGGATGTCCTCAACAATTTGTCAAGGTAGGGGCTATATAAATGTTTGATTGTATATTATTAGTGCCTACGTTAGTACCTTCCTACATGAAGTTATGTCTACATTTTCCCAAATTAATTGTACCTATCAGGGGCGTAGCGTGCATGTAAGCACTGTAAGCACTGCTTACACTTTAAATTAAAGAAAAAATAAATTTGATCAATCACGACTAATAGGTACATAATAAATGATTTTTAAAATTTTAATTTTTTTTTAAAATATTTAAGTTATAGCTGGTAGTGGTTTTTGTTATTGTTTATTTGTGTCGTACGCTGTCTACTGATTACCAACTATTTTAAGAAAATCATCGATTGTAGGTCTATTTTTAATCCATTCTGTATTATGTTAACTGCATAATCATAATACGATATACAGTGTAACACATTCTGAAATTGCTTACGCGCAACTGTTGTTTTCGAATAGTCTATAATGCCATAGTGGGGGTCACGTATTTAACTAGCGTTTGTAAGCACATTTGATTTTGCTTACGCGAGAAACAAGGAGCGACCAGTACGTAGCCCGACGCGTTGTAGACTGAGGTCGTTTTTACGTACACTGTCACTGTCATTTGCCTAATTGACTTTTGAAGTATTTATACTTCAATTTCTTTATTTTCTCGAATTTGATTTGTACAACTAGTATATTTTTAAAAATATTAAAAACTTTAAAATGATAATATTTTTTATACATAATTTAAAATTAGGTATTTAGGTATAGTACCTATATTCTAATCACTTTTGAAAAAAAAATGTCACTGCTTACATCTTTTTAATACCTACGCCACGCCACTGGTACCTATACAATATTTTGAATAACATAATATTTAAAATTAATTGCCATTACATTTTAGGCTATTAAAATTAAATTAAAATAATATGAAATACTAAAACTATAATTCACTATTTAGGAATATTTTTCTCTCAATAGTAGTAGTAAAGTATTTCATATTATATAATAATAATATTAGAGTAAACAATGCAAAATAATTGTCGTATTCATCAGAAAATGATCACATGATAGGTATAGTTCATAATAAATATTATTACACAATTCAGTATAAAATAATATTAAAGACTTAAATAGGCAAATGTTTCAGAAAATATTATGAGGACGTCGTACCCGCATGTGTTGTCTCCATCTCACACAAATATTAATTTGCCAGTTTCAATAGTGTGCTTTTAGTTTTGATATTAGAGTGAATTGACCCATTATAAAATGTAAAGGTAAGATTATTATCTAGGCACGACTTAGGCTGGGGCTATACACGGCGTATTCCGCCGCGTTTCGAACGCCGTGTATAGCCCCGGTCGTAGGCTTTCATTGATATACTGGGTGATTTTTTATCAAACAACACTCATTATTTCAAAAAGTGTAAATTTTTTTGAAGATATTTTTTTACATAGTTTCAAGTCGCTTATAAAACAACGTTTTTATTAAAAAATTATATTTTTAATTATTTTTTATCCTTATAATTTTTTAAGTTTTTTACTTTTTTGAATGACAACATAGAGTTTTAATTTTATATTCTAAAGTAGAATATTTTTCTTAGTATTTTGATACATGAAAATTGAATTTGGGGCGAGTAGTTTATGAGTTATAAGTATTTAAAGTTCAGACGAGCGGAGTGGAGTGGTTCGGGGTTACCCCGCGAAATGTTTGTCCACTTCACCGCTCGTCTAAACTTTAAATACTTATAACTCATAAACTACTCGCCCCAAATTCAATTTTCATGTATCAAAATACTAAGAAAAATATTCTACTTTAGAATATAAAATTAAAACCCTATGTTGTCATTCAAAAAAGTAAAAAACTTAAAAAATTATAAGGGTAAAAAATAATTAAAAAAAT